TCTCTCTCTCTCTCTCTCTCTCTCTCTCTCTCTCTCTCTCTCTCTCTCTCTCTCTCTCTCTCTCTCTCTCTCTCTCTCTCTCTCTCTGTGCTTCGCCATTCCTCCTCACTTGTATCTCTCTCTCACTCTCCCCACCTGGACCGCTCATTCTCACTCTCTGAATGCACTCGCCTCTCTCTCTCTTACAAGTTACTACTCTACCAGCTATGGTTTGTGGTTGTCTTCCTCCTAGCTAGCCCTAGCTATGGCGCTCCAGCGCTGGCTTCTTCCTCGACCTCCCCAGCCAGTCCAGCTGTATGGTCACACGAGCGTTCAGCAGAGCTTCCGCAACACACAAATTGACAAGTGGGTTCTACCGAGCGCTGTAGCTCTATGAATAGGAGATGAGTTGAGATCTTTGTCGGCTCCGGACCGGTAATGGGCCCCCAAGGCCTGTCGGCTGTACTTTTGCCTGTTCCAGCACTCACCGGACTTTCCCAGGATGCTGCTGCTGAATTTGGACCGGGACTTGGGCTTTTCTTGTCGGGTACCGGGCTTGTCAGACTCCTAACAACCCTAAACCTTCTGTTGGCCTACTGAACTCTACTGACCTGCAGGACCTAAGTTCGGCACTTCAGCTGCTGGGCCTGCCGCATCAGTTCCTTTTAGTGGGACTGGGACCTTTGGGAGTCTGTAACCGGGACTCAGGACACTGACTGTCTTGTAAGATCCTTTCACTGCACCTGGTGTCCATCTTATTTTAATGAAGGAGTGAGGCTTTGTTAAAAGGAAAAAAGAGGACATGCAAGCGTTCCGACAACCTTCTTCCCCCGAACATAACGCTCATGCGTTGTAAATGAATACAACGCATAGGGCACGTTCTATTTGAATACAACACACATGTGTTCTATTCGAATAGCCCTAAATTTTGAATACAACGCAGATGCGTTCTATTCGATTTTTTTTTTTGAAAACTGGAATACAACGCATATGCGTTATGTTCGGGGGAAGAAGGTAGTGTCCGGAAATGTGAGTCAACTGGCAGAAAACAATAGGATGGTGGTACACACAAGGATGCCATAGAAAAATTATCCTACGAGGCCAGGGATCAGCCAAGCTCAATGGCGGCCAATGACAACAGACCGGGGAGGTTGCTCCGACTCGTAGGAATACAGACGACGAACCGGAGAGCTTTCTGCAAGTCCTAGGAATACAGACAACAGACCAGGGAGCTTGCTGCGACTGCTAGGAATACAGCCAACACTCCAGGGAGTAGTAGCAAGCTCAATGACAGCCACCCAGCCAGCCTTCTGGCTGAAATGATCGATAGGCTGGGAGCTTGGACAGTGGTCCACCCTTTCCTCAGTTCTCGCTATGATGTGGTATGTGGCTGCCTTTTGCACTCCCGAAGAGGACACCGCGAACGAGCTCGAAAGGAAACCAAAAGTGCGCTTGTCGACCAGAAACCACTCCAGGCAAAAAGCTTCGTTACAAAGGTGGCCTGGAGTTGTGATCAACAAGAAGAATCAACGAGGGCTAGAAGTCCGGGGTCTTCTGGGTAAAATGAGCAAATCCTGGGCGATGAAAGGCACAAAACAGGACGCTTGATTGAGCGGAGGTATTGTGCACGTAATATCTTAAGCCGCAAGTAACCTTTGACGGTTGGGAAAATAGGGAAAACTGGCAGTTTTCCCAAACTCCTAAAAAGTCGGGGGCTGGGTCTGACGACGGTGGCCATTCATAAATCTCATCGGCGGCCTTCGTTTCGTTTCGGTCTCCTAAAAGATAGGAGGCCCCCACCCAAGTCTCCCTGTTCTCCCAACCGTCAAAGGTATAAATCTAAACCCAACAATCAATCCTTGCTCCCCACGAATAGACTGGAGCATTTGCCCAACATCCAAAGAAACCTCGCCCTAGTACAAGTTGATCCAAAATTTAACATGAGAGTCGCCAGTAACACAACCAAGATGATGTCCATAATAGCAAAATTAGACTGACTACCGTCTTCACCCGCATTGAACCCCCGGTCATTATAGCTGTATTTGGGGCCACTTTCAGTCCAGATGCAGCGATAATGTCCGGGCGTTCTATTCAGGTTGAGACGGTAGCTAACTGGAAAAACACAGTAGATTTCTTCTTCTTCTTCTTCTTCTTCTTCTTCTTCTTCTTCTTCCTCTTCTTCTTCTTCTTCTTCTTCTTCTTCTTCTTCTTCTTCTTCTTCTTCTTCTTCTTCTTCTTCTTTCTTTTTCTGCTTCTGCTTCTGCTTCTTCCTCCTCCTCTTCTTCCTCCTCCTCTTCTTCCTTCTCCTCTTCTTCCTCCTCCTCCTCCTCCGCCTCTTCTTCTTCTTCTTCTTCTTCTTCTTCTTCTTCTTCTTCTTCTTCTTCTTCTTCTTCTTCTTCTTCTTCCTCCTCCTCCTCCTCCTCTCCCTCGTCTTCCTCCTCTCCCTCGCCTTCCTCGTCGCCGTCCTCCTCTTTGTCGTCCTCCTCTGCTTCATCGCCCTCCTCCGCTTCGTTGTCTTCCTCCTCTTCGTCGTTCTCCTCTTCGTCCTCCTCCTCCTCTTCGTCCTCCTCCTCTTCGTCCTCCTCCTCCTCTTCGTCGTCCTCCTCCTCGTCCTCCTCCTCCTCCTCCTCCTCGTCCTCCTCCCCGTCGTCGTCCTCCTCCCCGTCGTCGTCCTCCTCCTCCCCTTCGTCGTCCTCCTCCCCTCCGTCGTCCTCCTCCCCTTCGTCGTCCTCCTCCTCTTCGTCCTCCTCCTCCTCGTCCTCCTCCTCCTCGTCGTCCTCCTCCTCTTCGTCCTCCTCCCCCTCGTCGTCCTCCTCCCCCTCGTCGTCCTCCTCCCCCTCGTCGTCCTCCTCCTCCTCCTCGTCCTCCTCCTCCTCCTCGGCCTCCTCCTCCTCTTCATCGGCGCCCTCCTCCTCCTCGTCCTCCTCCTCCTCC